ACATTTATCGTTTTGCCACGAGATCGATGACAAACGCAAGCGTCGCGAAGTCTGAGTTGGTAAAGTGCATAGTTGAGAAACGCCACATGTCCCACCCAGCGTATTTTATCCCCTGTCCATGCACGTGTAATCTAAAACTAACTCACTGATACGGATAACATCCGAAGGTCGTGGCCTATTTCAAGGTACAGTAAAGGCCGCAATGAAGGCTGTTAGTAGTTTACACATAGCTGCATCGTCTTTCCCTAAACAGCTGGACTGTTATTCTCAAAACTGCATACGTATGAATTTATTTCTGCATACACTTTGGTTTCCACGGATGTAGTTTAATGTGTGACTTAGGCTTTCGGAAATACGCTGCCTAGAATGTCAGTTTTCCATTGTTTGGTCAAACATTACAGTTGCCGTCTTCAGCGTTGATAAGCTGTCACTCGGCGAAGCAGAGGAATGGGGAAACTTTCAGCATTCCAGAAGCTCAAGTCGTGCTTTATTCTTCCGTCTGAAGTACCCTATGTGGGCGAAACACAGAGCTTTATAATGCTAAAGCAGATGACAAGGTAAAGTTAACATGTGCTTAACTAATTAAGCACTACGTCGTGAAGGTGTGTGGGGGAGTGGATGTATAGATCGACGTTTCCTTCACCTCGGCATTAATTGGAGGCGACTGGTCAGCATCACCCCACCGGGGGGACAGAAACCCCGATACCCATTTAATAGGATGCTGGATGGGCCCCGGAACCGGTCTCGACAACATGGAGACAGTTCTTGCACCTACCGGGGCTCGGTCATCCAGCTTGTAGCAAGTTGCCATGTCGACTGCACTATCGTGGGACGTATGGTAACAGTTGTGCATTTTACCCAAAGAATATGTTTATGGGTTTCATACGATTCTTACAATGAACAGCGATTGCTCTCTTAAAGAGCATTATTTTTCTTTAATGCTGGTGTGGTGGGACTAAGTCCCTTGTACTGCGGCCACTTCTGGCCTATTGTACCAGCCCCAGATGATAGGTGAGGGTGATTGAGGAGCAATTGGTGGAATGAAGATTGGCAGGGGAAACCGAAGTACTCGGAGAAAACCTGCCCCAGCGCCACTTTGTCCACCACAAATCCCACTTGACCAGACACGGGATCGAACCCGGGCCGCCGCGGTGGGAAGCCAGCGTCTAACCGCTTGAGCTATGGCGCGGCCCTAAACAGCATTAAGTGATTTGTCTTTGTAATGGAGACGCATTGTTTTGTGTGAGGTAGGAACTAGATTTCAAATAGGTATTATGTAGGTGACCGCCTCTGTTGTCTAGTGGTCAGAGTTCCGGGTTCGATTTCCGGGGCTGCCAGATTTTCTGAGAAGTAGTGGGTCTGGAACGAGGTCCACTCAGCCTCGTGAGGATAATTGAGTTATTTCAGGGAAATAGCGGCTCCGGTCTAGCAAACCGAAATTAACGGCCGTGGGGATTCGTTGCGCTTACCACGCGGCACCCTCTATCCGCTAATGTTGGCACTAACTTCGCCGACAAGCGGCGGTCGCTCCGTCGGTATAGTTCGCTTGCGGACTAAAACCACGGAGTTTTTTTTTGTTTGGTTTGTAGGTGAATTTGCAGGCTACACATGGTTAAAGGACACGAATCTAATTCGCATAGCAAGAAGGATGACCAGATCTGCTGTGTATCCAGGAAGTTTTCACGGAAAGTACTTGAGCTAGACAAAAAGTTTATAGTCATGTATCGGAAAGACTGCACGTGACATGCCGAGAGTCCCGGGAGGTTTCTTAAATCAGAGATTTGTAATGTGCATGGTGTCCAGTAAGTATGGAACCATAAAGCAATAATAGAGTTGTGACACAGCTGTTACGCCGAACATTCAAGCAACTTCTGTTCGACTGCGACCTCTACCCAGCGGAACTCATTTCACACGTCTGTCGTCAGTCACAGCTGCGACAAAGAGAAGTCTTGGGGCCTGTGTCATATATGGTTCCGTACTTGTGGGACATTCTGTAGGGAATTCCAGAGATATGTGGGAAGTCAGACAACATTGAAGACTGCTTTGCTTCATGACGGGACGTTGCTGTTATGTACTGTCTCCTGGGACGGAGCGCCGCCATGTAGGAGAGTGCAGTTTGCGTCTTCAGGGTAGAAGAATTCGTATGTGATGCCGTGTAGTCTGGTGTCGTTTTCAGCGTTTCGGAGAAACCCGCAGCCTTGTAGTTTGTTAAACTATTATGAACTTTTCGGAAGCGCCTGCAGTCTCTAATTTCAGTGTAGAAGAATATGTGATGCCGTGTAGTCTGGCTCTATGAGAACGTCTACATGTAATACAGTGTATTCTGTCTGTGTTACTGTCTTGAAGGTCGTCTGTTTAATGTGCATCTAATGGTTAGACGGTGTACGTTGAATTTATTGTTGGCAGAGCTACGTACATTGAAAGAAAATTTTAAATACAGCTTGTGTTTCTAGAAACGTTAAGGATGTTTCTGGGGGTGTTTGGTATGAAACCTGGCCCTGTGATTAATTAACTAAGCACCATGCCGTGAAGAAGTATGGGGAGTGGAGGTATTGCTCCATAATTTTTTTACCTTGCCACTAGATGGAGGTGAGTGGCCAGCTTCACGCACCGACCGCTTTACCCCTGGTACGCGTTGAATAGGAGACTGGGTGGGCCCCGGAGCCAGTCTGGACACTGTGGTGTAGAGAAAAATCTGTTGCCTCCGGAAATCGAACACCGGCCGTCCAGCACGTAGTCCATCTCTATACCGACTGAGCTATCCATTCGATATTTAATGTGTAAGATTTTCGTGAACGCTTTTAGACTTCTGACAGACTTTTAATCCGTTTAATCTTTGTTTAGTTTTTGACTGCTTGAATGAAATTAAGAAGTAATCATTATATCGAAACTGTATTATGTCAAGAAAAAATATTAATCGGTTACTTGAATTAATAAAAATGGCGTTTCATATCTTGAGCTAATCCCCTTACATGTTTTCTTATTTTACTTATTGCCTGATGGGAATCGAGAACTCCTCTTTTGTCTAGTGGTCAGAGTTCCTGGCTGCAGATTCAGAGTCCCGGGTTCGATTCCCGGCGTTACCAGATTTTCTGAGAAGTAGTGGGTCTGGAACGGGGTCCACGCAGCCTCGTGAGGATAATTGAGGAGCTGTTTCAAGGAAATAGCTGCTCCGGTCTAGAAAACTGAGATTAACGGCCGTGGGGTTTCGTTGCGTTGATCACGCGACATCTTCTGCCCTCAAAAATTGGCACCAACTTCGCCGACAAGCGCCGGTCGCTCGATCGGTATAGTTCGCTTGCGGGCTACAGGCTACGGAGTTTGTTTTTTGTTTACTTCTGATGGGAATCGAAGTTGAGTTGCAGTGTGCTATACATTGTAGTATTTTATTGCAAAGTTGAAGTGTGGTGTTTCCTCCACTTCCCATCGAAAGAGGGAACACCGCATGTGACAGAGAAGACGTCAGTTGAAGATATTTTTTTACTGGACAACAGAAAAGCCCACGAAGAACTATGAAATGAGAGGCAAATTTTCGGACTTTCAAATTTTGAGCGGTAATGACTGGAAGAGCCGGTCACGGTAGCAGAGCGCTCTAAGGCATGCACTGTCTTCGCTCGCTTGGAAACCGGGATCGTGGGTTCGAATCCCACTGAGGGCATGGATATTTAGTTTGTGTGTGTCTGCGTTTTTCTGTGTCTGTGTACAGGTAGATTCCTTGCGACGAGCTGATCACCCGCCCAAGGAGTCCTACCGAATGTGTAAGATCTAGAAAAACCGAAGTGAACGGAGAAGTTCATGGAGGTAGGCCTAGGCCCACTGGGGCTATAGTGCCAAGGAAGAAAAAATGAATGCAAGTAGGAACAAAAAGTCTCTATAGTGTTGGGAGACTTGTGGCTCATTTGAGCTCACCTCCCGAAGCTGTAGACATTTTGCCTACTTGTCTCAACAGAACAATTGACAAAATAAAATAATCAGCGACTGATATTCGTTTTCCAAATATTATATGATGGATCTTCCAATGACAATTTAGTAACGAGATACGAAATTGTACATCAGCGATCAGTGGTTCATGAATAAAAGGGATGCCTTTTGTAGGGAGGCCATGCTTGTCAGTCTGTCTATGACCATCAGCGCCCAAACCGTTGCTGGATTATTTTACAATTAGATATGAGATGTGTAAGATTTGAGGTTTTCGCAGCGATGACTATGAAGAATGCCGTCTTATGGGATGTGGCGCCGTGTAGAACTTGTGTGAACCGATGTTTCGGAGGAACGACGGCATTCTTCAGATATGAGAGACTTTTACAGAAATTGTTGAGAATATTTGGACCGAAGAGAGATGACGTGACAGGAGGTTGGAGAAACCTGCATAATGAGGAGCTTCATAACGTGCACTCTTCTCCAAGTATAGTTAGAATGATCAAGTCAAGGAGGATGAGGTGGGCAGGTCATGTAGCACGAATGGGGGGAGACGAGGAATGCGTATGGGATATTGGTGGGAAAGCCAGAAGGAAAGAGACCACTGGGAAGACCATGGCGTAGGTGGGTGGACATTATTAGAATGGATCTTAGAGAGATAGGATGGTATGGAATGGATTGGATAGATCTGGGGGCCAGTGGGGGGCTCTTGTGAACACGGTAATGAACCTACGGGTTCCATAAAAAGCTGAGAAATTGTTGAGTAGCTGCAGAATTGGCGGCTCCTCCAGAAGGGCTCAGCTCCATGAGTAAGTAAGTAAGTAAGTAAGTAAGTAAGTAAGTAAGATATTTTACCTTTAATAGAGTCCGTTTTACTGAAGGCCATAAATTTATTTCTTCGTATATATCATAAACCGATAATCGAATTATGTAAATAGACTGCAAATGAGCTTAATAAACTGCTGATGTCGCCGGGACTTCTTCGTGTACTACTTTATGAAGCACTTCCTTTCGGATCTTGTGCATCGCGATTTTCTTTTGTCTTTAGACGTATGTTAATGTCGTATTCTCGTATTTTGCAGATTTCTTCATCGTGAGTGGTCGGGGATTCCTGAAGTACGGCAGAAACGGCGAGCACGTCGTGGTATGAAACTGTTGCCTCTCTCCCTCCCCCCCGTCGCGGCGATGGATCGCCTGCCGCTGTCGTTGCCCTTCAGTCCCACGGACCTGCTTTGGAGATATCCCCTGGGGTTCCCTGCAGCCCCCAGTCAACCACCTCCAATGTCTCCGCTTCTAGACTTCAAGACACACCTTCCAACTAGTCTAGGTGGGTCACTTCCTCTTTAACCGTGTTTCGCGATGTTAACATGATGCAGTTTCAGACCCCACTTGTTTTTGTGAGTTATCCGGGGCGGAAGTTCAAATTGTCTGTGTAGCAAACCATGGTTACTATCAAGTAGCCGTTTCGCAGGATTCCGTAACAAATCACCACCTCCTCCTCTTCTTCTTCCTCTTCCTTTTGTATAAGGCCCTGTGGCCTGTAGGTATCAGAGGAATATTTAATGTGTAGCTGATGCCGGCACATAGATATTCTTTATGTAGTTCATGAAATTCCTCTCAGAACAACCAACCTGAAAAATGGAATTTGAAGTTGAGAGGTTGTTGGAAGATAAATTTATGGAGACTACTTGGAATCTCAGACTGAAGAGATTTCTTCAGTATTATATGTATACGTGACAGTTAAATTTAACAGTTCACCTTAAGACTTGATGTGACATCACTTCCGGGACTTGTAGAGCTATTATTTCTTCTTGTTAGCCTTGGAAAGACAGGAAAAATGAGAGGAAATTGAACTCAAGGCCGAACATATCAATAAACATTTATGTAATTAATACACCTTTTGTGTCACATAAACATTTATTGCAATTATATTCTTTTTGTCACATTTTGGATTTTAATTATGACTTATGAGCAGAAGTAAGATTGATGTAATATAAGATTCTTTAGTTACTATAGGATTCTGACGATGGTGTGTAACACACTGATATGTTGGGTTTTTGGACTTTATCCATCGTCCTGGTTTTTAAGATAACAAATAAAAACACGACGTTTCGGAAACTGGATCTNATTCTTTGATTGGTTTTCCTGCTAATTTGAAATGCCTCCAATGCTGGTTTGTAGCAGTAAACACAATAATTACTTAGCCATTACATTAGTCATTATCTTGAGTGTTTCTGAAACATTTTGGGAACTGTTTCTGGGCCCATTGGACATCCAGTGATGAAGACTCACTTTAAAAGCTCCAACTGAGTAGGAAGCTTTCCCAAATTACTCGTGATAATGCAAACACTGTGTTTTTTTTTCTTGGCACTACAGCCCCAGTGGGCCTAGGCCTACCTCCATGAACTCCGTTCACTTCGGTTTTTCTCGATCTTACACATACGGTAGGACTCCTTGGGCGAGTGATCAGCTCGTCGCAAGGCCTCTAACTGTAGACAAACACAGAAAAACGCACCCAAACATCCATGCCCTGAGTGGAATTCGAACCCACGATCCCGGCTTCCGAACAAGTGAAGACAGTGCATGCCTTAGACCGCTCGGCTACTGTGACCAGCAAAACACTGTGTTTAAGAAGTTCAAAATGGTGAACAGTGCCCAAGATAATGATCATCAGTGCCTGGAATTTGATGACATGTCATCTTTTTTTCCTTGTATCCTGTGCGATGCTGTTAAATATATAAATCTCGGAAATGAGCTGCTGGTTACAGAAATGTAAATTTTATGGGTAATTTTTTGTCATTTTTTGACATTTTTAGGTTTCAAGTATTTTTTGGTAAATTTTTGGATTTTTAAGGGTATTTCTTGTCATTTTTGGCCATTTTAGGGAATTTTTCTTCATATGTTTTCTGAAATGTGAATAATATGGAAGCGAAGTGTTCTTTCTCTTTCTCCTTTAGGTCATTTTTTTAAATACTTTTAGGTCATCAAAATCCGAGCCCTGCATATTACATTTTTGGGTCATATTTTAGGTCATTTTTCTGGATTTTTTCCGGTTATTTTTAAAATATTTTCAGGTCATCAAAACCTGGGCCCTGATGATCATATTTGTTGTTGAAGATTTCTGTCTTTTGGGATGTAACACAGCGTAGCCCGTTGAAAGTCAGCTGACATTTTGGAGGAACATGTTGCCTCCATCTTCAGGGTCAAAGAATAAGCCAAGCAAGAAACCAGCATGAAGCAGGCAGCAAGCAGAGCCTTTTCTGCTTGCTACTTGCTCAACCCTGAATTTGGAGGCGACATGCTCCTTTGAAACGTTGGTTAACTTCCAGTTGACCTCATGGCATTGTACCTCAGAAGACAATTCTTAATAACCACCACTGTGAGAACCTCATCCTGCAAAGGTATTGTGTACTTCCTGGTTTAAAAAAAAGGGAAGGGTGTAGAGCAGAGATGTGCACCTATTTCAAAGTGAGGGCTTCGTTGTAAAATAATAAACTAATTAGGACACTAAATTCTTGTTAATGAAATTAATTTAATTGATAGTAATTGAGCTCATTCATAAGTGACATTTATATTACCATTAATATGATACTGATGCTGCATACTTTACAACCAATCACAGTTTAACTCCTGGGTTCAAATCACAGCTAAGAGATCAGCTAACCTAAGGTTTTCCACAGTTTGTCTCTGGCCCTCTAGGTAAATGATGGGATTGTACCACGAACTAGGCTATGACTGCTTCCTTCCATACCCTTTCCAATTCATTGTTAACAATCGTCATGTCATTCAGTGCAATATGAACTGAGCTACCAGCACTGCCATTAAATACATTAAGAATAAAGGAATCAGAGAGCGAATGTGTGTTGTCTCTTCTGTTACAGCATCTGATCCCAGAGTCTGGTCACGTGAAGATGTGGCCACATTTCTTAGGTGGTGTGAAAGAGAGTTCGATTTGCCCCATTTTGACATGGAGATGTTCCAGATGAACGGTAAGAATTATATTGTGATTTTGTAGCTCATATTCTGAGAACACCAGAAAAGTAAGGTTTCTTATCTAAAATGTTATTTTGAAGAACACAGCTTCTGTGAAAGTGGTAATACACTACAGTTATAGCCTTCTGGTATGTGATGCTGTGTAGTTTCATACTGGCATTTAGGAGTAACCTACGGCTTCCATCTACCCTGTGTTTTAGAGAATTCAGAGGCTCATTATCGTGAAATTTGAGGTTTTCATAGCAGTGAATATTAATATTACAGTCTTCTTGGATCTTACCGTTGTTTCGAAGCAACTTGTTGCCTTCATCATCCCATATGGAACTTCTTTCCATGACGTCAGTGTGGCCATAAATGGTATTACTTATAGTATTAACTGTAAGGCGTTTGGTACATCATATGTCCACCAGTCAGTCTTATTTTTAAAAGCGAATGAGAACAGTGACGACAAATATCATTTTATTTCCTGCAGGTAAGGCGATGTGTCTCCTCACAAAGAGTGACCTAGCTGAGCGTTCTCCGGGCTCTGGTGACGTTCTGCACAATGTGCTACAGCTGCTGATGAGAGATGCACAGACATTGCAGCGCTGTCTACCAAGCAGTCCTGTGACACCTACCTCACGCCACCATTATCCACTCTCACCCCACCACATAACAGGAACATCACATCCCTCCACCCCCACCTGGAACAACTTGCTGACATCAACAGCTGTGACAGCATCAGATTTCCAGACACCAAGCCTCGCCCACCTTGTTCATCAAGGCAATTCCGTCACTCTCAGTCCGGCACCTTCTGTTGATAGCCAATCAGGTATGCAAACAATTAAAAAATAACGAGGGCTTGCCATTCTGTTTGTAGCAATGAGAATTGATACTATTTAAGGATAGGACTGTAAGAGAGGTACTTATATTTCGGTTTTCATTGCAGTCTTGACCATGGTAAAAAGAAAATTGAGTGAAATTGTGATTTAAGGATGCATGTAAGTGGATCAGTGGAGGAGTTATCTCAGAATTGTGTAGCTGTAGATGGGAATTGTTTATTTTGAAGATTCCATTCATTTGTTGCATTCAAGATCATTCAGAATGTGTGGCTGTGTGGTAATGGAGTTTATGCTTGTAATGTCAAAATATTAGATGTTAACTCAGATTTATAAAGCGTCAGTGTTTGTTTTTTTGTATTAGATCCAAAACACCACCTGCTATAGCTACTCAAGTTTCGACTGAAAGAAATGTATTTTTGCTCTTTAGCGGTGAACTAGACACCAATCATTGTGATGCCCTGTTACCAATTGAAGATAGAGAGAGGTTAGATAGTGTTATTTGTTTTTATTGGTAGTCTTCACTGAGAACATTTCCTCTAGATAATGCAAATTAATTTGCTCTCCACAAATCAGAGTCTGGAAATATTATAACATCAATTGTCATTGATTAATCATAATGATTTTGATGTTATTTTTAAATTGTTAAATTAAATTCACTTAATTTGCTAATATAGTTCTCTCTTTAATTGAATGAAATCTATTATTTGATTAGGGAGCCCACAGCATGCAGATCATAATGCAACATCTTCATATCATGGAGGTAGCAATGGAAGCAATCAGTCATCTGATTCAGATGAGGACAGCTACCAGGATAGCAACAGTGGTAGCTTGCCTAATGGTGGAGGAGGGACTCATCATAGGTTAGCTGCAAGTGGTGGCAGCAGCAGTAACAGCCCTCCATCAACACCTGGTATTAATGTTGCTGTACCATCACTCCCCCAGCAGCCACATTCACCAGCCAAGGAGCAAACCAGCCCTGGTGCAAACTTTAGCACAAATGGAAATGGCTTTAGGGCTGTTACAGGAAGGGAATTCTTCCCCACAGATACACCAGAACCGAACACAAGTATGTCACATTTTGGAGAATAAGAATGCTGGGAGTCCTCAGTTACTTTCCAAACTTTATGTACAGTAAACCATATAACACTGACCAAAATGACGCAGATTATTTGAGTTAGCTGGTCTGGATTTTTCCTGTCCTCTGTGCACAGTTTTTATGATTTTCCTGTCCAAGGTAAATTTAGTAGGATGTGGCCCTAGCAGTTAGACACTGGCTTCTCACCACCAGGTCTTGGGTTCAGCCCTGGATAATTTTGTATTAAATTCATTGCAAACAAAGTGGTGCTGGAGCAGATTCTTCAGTTTTCCCCTCCTAAGCATCATTTCACCATTGTTCCATACTCATCTCCCGCTGCTTTTGAAGTGTTTTGTAGACCTAACCAGGAAACACACGCCTGCATCCTCAGTCTCTAAGTGGGGGGCTTCATCTGTCATTTGACTGGTTACTGAGTAAGGAAGTTTAAGTCTTTATGTAGTAATAAATGGACCAGTTTACTGTACATAATGTCCAACTTTTTCCATGTGACAGTAAATTCTGTACTTGAATAGCATCATTAAATATTGTACAAACCAGGTAGCAATAGCTGAAATAATTGCTTTTGGATCCCAAGACTCAGTCTGTGAAGTTATGGTATTTCTTGAGGTGTCAGAGATATCACAGGGAATGAAAACACTGGTCATTGACCACTTGAAGCTCTGAGTCTGCATTTCTTTTTTTACCATATACTAAACCGAGAAATGTTTTGTAACTGGAGATTAGTATTGACAGTGGCACTTGTTTAGTAGTAACCTTCACAGGTCCAGCCCAAGGGTTTTGACCCATCATGTTGAATCTAGAAAATTCTCTGATTTGAACATAACTACGTTTAACCATGTTATATTTTAGCGTCCTCTTACACTGATTCATGTCCATGGTTTATGCTGACCGTCTAACCATTTTGAAAGTATTTTCTACGATTCTTGTTCATTGGCTTTCACAACTCCTTACCAGTATTTGATGTTAATTTTTGGGGTTGATTACACTTTTTGAATGGAATTAACAATCCATCTGATTGATTTATGTCTGGTTAGTAGCATTATTTCAACTACACAGGGTGTATAATATGCTGTGACTGATTGTAATGCTTGCCAAAATGCTGAAAATGCCAGGGAAAGCTTATGGCCCAGTTCCAACATCAGCGTATATGTATTTTAGAAGTTATTACTAGCACATCAGCTCTGTGTGTAAGTGAAGGATGGAATAAGGCAGGTTCATTGCTCATGTTTGCCCTGACTTTGAATTGACTGCAGAGCCCAGTGTGGAAGGAAAAACCTCCACAGCAGACTATGAAGTTCTTGCATCAGTAAAATCTCAAGCCTCTTTTACTTTCAGCCCATTACTGGGTACTAATGACGTCAGATATCACAACATGAAACATATTCCTTACTATCCTTGTGCTCCTGTCACAGAAATTGTTCAGGGATTCTGTGATTTGAACATGAAACTACAGAATTTAAATGTAAAACTGTCATCTTCGTCGTCTCCTCCAGGGTGGGTTATGTTACAGCAAAGCCTCTGTGTATCTGTGCCCACTGTATTCTGCTGTGTTTCCTATGTTTTCTGTCACTTAGCCTCTCTAATGATGGTTAATCTGTTATGCTCTGAAATGCCTCGTCGTTTCATCTAAGCATAATTATTCCCATACCACTGTATACTTAATTTCATTGGTGGTACTGTGAAATAGTCATCTACATGTACTAGAAATATTATATATTAGCACCATATGGTGTGTGAAATTTGTTTATTATATTCCGTTACCACAGCAGGAAGTATGGAACAGCATACATTCATAATTTCTTACATGTTTCAGCTCACTAAGCCATCATCAGGCATTTTGACTATTACATTCACCTGTATTCATCTCCTAGTATTCCTGCATTGGCCAGTGTTTACTTCCTATTGTGATGATGGAATACAATAAAGATATCTTCACATACTCCAACCCCATATGTTGCAGTAAAGATAAACTAATTTTAGTATTATCTACAGCCCTGATTGACTTTTCTTATATTAATAAACATTGATACTGGAACAAAAAATGTTTTAAGTAATTTTTATAATTAAAATTAACATTTTTTCAAACAGTAGTGACTAATTAAAATGCATCATTTTTCAGAGCTGTAATTTAGGGCAAAGGTTAGAACACTTGTATAAACTCAAACATTGTAACTACTTTGCAGACGGAAGATTACTTTGGGACTTCCTGCAACAGCTGCTGAATGACCCCACTCAGCGTTACACCAACTACATAGCATGGAAGAATCATGATACCGGGGTGTTCAAAATTGTAGATCCAGCTGGGCTTGCCAAATTGTGGGGCATCCAGAAGAATCATCTTTCGATGAACTATGATAAAATGTCAAGGGCTCTCCGTTATTACTACAGGGTCAATATCCTACGCAAAGTGCAAGGAGAAAGGCACTGTTATCAGTGAGTCTTTTTACTTTTACTGTCATCTCCTTTAAGAATTTTCATTCCGGGTTTGAAATACATTTGAAGTTGTGTCCAGTTTATTTTGTAAACTACCATTTAAATATCTCAGCAATATTTTTAAATGTATGGGTATATGTTAACGTGCTGTAGTGAAGCCATTAGTGTGATAGAATTATATTATGTGCGCATTGAAGATGAGGTGGTGGTTGTTCATTAATTTTTCTGAGCCATGAGTAAGTATATAAGAGTATAATGGAAATGTTCATGGGAGAGAAATGATCTGAAAAATGTTAACTTTATTTAGAGCATATGTAAATTATATAATTGTAAAATATTTGTACATTTTTGTTGTTGCGCTTTTATTTTTAGTTTTTTATACTATTGTGTAGTGATCTTATATTGATAACTTGACCTTTATCATTATTTAAATATCCCACTACTATGACATGAGGCACTGTGCTACAAGCCAGGAGGAGGCGGTTTTGATTCCTGATGAGGTCATTGGATTTTTTCAATTCATCTAAGTCATCCAGCCACACTGTGGCCCTGGGGTCAACTCAGCCTGTAACAGAAATGAGTATCAGGAATCCTCCTGGGAGATAAAGAGTGGCTGTTGCCATTTGTGAGCCAATTGTGTAGAAGATGCGGGAGTCTTGACGTCTCACAACCCTATGGGTCTTCACAGCCTGTTATAGGGATAGCTTTATCTTTTTTTTTTTCCACTGCTATGACATGAACCTGAGATTTTGACTTTATGACACTGAGATTTATATTGTGAACAGTGTGACAGTAGGCCTGTTCAACCTGTGAATGCACTGACACATAGACAGTAACAGTGACAATGTTATATATAGTAACCACTCTGTTATGCCTGATGGTCGTGGCAAAGTTAGCCTCCAGAGATTTTTTCCTCAATGTAGCTATGTTTGTGTCACAAATATTCAGTTATATCTTCTAAATAAAATTCACTTTCCATTATTATTTTGTTGCAGGTTCCTTCGCAACCCAAGTGAACTGAAGAGTATAAAGAACATGTCACTTTTACGTCAGCAGATGAGTCCTACTAGACCAACCCCCTCCTTGCAACAGCATCAACAGGCACAGCAGCAGCATCAGGTGTCGCCCCCTGTGGCAGTCAGCATCAAGGTTGAACCTGACATGGAGGACGGTGATTCTCCCATAGATGAAGACCTGCTGCCAACAGATCTCAGCATGGAGCACCCAACAGACCTGAGCCCCAGTCGTCACACTGCGGCTGAACTTCGGGCCATGCACTGCCAGACTGAGGTGAACATTTCTGCTAGCAGAGACTCAAACACGCAATACAACGGTGTCAAGATCAAAACAGATTCTGAGAGTACAGATGAAAACAAGTGATTTTCCACACATTTCCACTGTTCTTGTGGAAGTAATCAGGGACGCTTCAGTGAAATAAAATCTGAATGTGAACATAATCCAGGATATGATAGGTGGGTGTTCTGTAACACTAATTATGCTATGTAATATATTAAGAAGGAAGGTCTATACTGAAATGCTTTGATGGATGACCTTGCTATTTATGTATATAGAACAGAAGAAATTGCCACGTTGAAACATGAATATTTATGCATCTGATTACAATATAATGGTTTTGGTGTGAAACCTGTCTGTGTGCCAGAACGTGTGAATTCGGAGTAAGCAGTGTTGTTTGATTAGTGATAAGAACTGTCACCTGCCAGGAGTATCATTTAACTTCCTCAGGAAATAACTTCTGAAAAAAAAAAAGATGTTATTTGATAGGCATCTGTTTCAGAAGGTCTGTCACAGACTTCTCAAATTAGACAATATTAATCCAGTAGGCTTTGAATGAAAGTGTGTATGAGATATCTGGAAATACGATGTGACAAGGAACAGAAATCATGTGCACACCTCTACTGCACCAAACATGGAGTATAGTGCATACCCCACATCATGTGGCTGCAGTCTTTCTAGATCCTGTTTATGTTTCAGTGAATGTATCGTTTGTTAGCAATACTCTTACTGTTACAAGGAAGGTTGCATTGTTAGAATGACATACAGAAAACAGTGCCAAGATTATTAATATAGGACCCCAAGGGATGGATGAATTACAGTTATATTGAAAGTCGGTGGGTAGGATTGTGAAATACTTGCTCTTTTATCAACACATTTCTGTTTTAGTACTGCTTGAAATAACTTTCCTGTTCTGTTGTCACATAAAATACATCTGTCTGTATCGATGACAATGATTCATACAGCTTATGGCATGAAGTGACAAGACGCATGAATTACTGGTAATGCTACAGGGACTGAGTTTCATTTAATCTCGCTGCAAGACATGAAAGTGGCAGATGATTCTCTAAAGGTTTGTGACAATGGTCGATTCATTGTGAGAATGTAACGTTAGACACTGTCCATTATTTTGGGTGTATTTAACATATATGACCTTTTGGAAACTAGATCCATTTCTGTCATCAGATCCTAGCTCCACATGGTTATGCAGTGTCAGTGAAGCTGTATCTCCATTTCAATTAAACCACAATTTAATTTAACTTATGCAGTTGTTCTTGTTGAGTGCCAATAATGTGAAAAGTGTTTTGGTATAACTCTTTCAAACACCATCACATACTATGTCCAAATAATGTTTATTAATTTAGATGCACCTGGCTCACTCTGTCTTTCATAGAGGCAAAACTCCATCAAAGGTCTGTAATGGGTAAGCCTTTAGTAATGACAGGTGATCCGATCAGCATTCGGGATGTGTAGCTGACGCTCTTTTCAGATGACTTATTCTTTGATGTACCATCACATAAATCACTGTACTTCATAAATAATATTACTTCAAAAATCATAAATGCTGTAAGACACATTGTGTTGAGTTTATAAGAATTAACCTTTTATACATAATTACTCAATTAGATCAGGCTGGCATACTAGCGTCAACACTGCTGCAGAATGTTAATCACGTAGTACAGCATTTCTGTCAATACATGGCTTAAAGTGTGATATACTGAAGTTTGGAGGAAGAGTTTCACACTGTCAGTATCCATGGTCATTTGAAGGAAGTTTGAGGAAGTAATGTTAGTTTTTATGTGAAACTACATTTCCCCCAAAAGCAATCCTGGCATTTCTAGCAAGTGGTTCTGTGGTACTGCTTGGCAGTCAGATGGTTAAGTGTTCATTTGCCAAACTTTGTTCAATATTTGCACAAATTGTTTACTTTTCATTTTCACTATATGGTTCACTTGAAGTAATGAATTATTAAGGCTTAGTAAAAAAAAGTGTTAACAGAAAACTCAGGTTTTTGTGAGCTATCTGTATGGAGCTGAAGAAGAGTCTGTCAGTACATGAAGCACACTTGACCTGGTGTCCTTACTGGAGTTCAGTCCAAAAGATGCCATGTAAGAAATACAAATTTCTCAGTCTTGAGTGGCCAGTATACTTTGGGTGAGAGTCACAATGACCATTTGTTCTCTTGAGCACTTCCTTCACATAAAGTAGCTCCTAACTACAGAGGCAGTGCCTGTTCTGTAACTTACCACTGTCAAATAGGAATTCTGGGTTCATTCAAATAAAACTAAAATTTGTCTGTCCCTTCAAGCATCAGATTGCACTGCTAGAGTGAAGACCCAAAGTCAGGTGTGATAACTTGCCTGTAATTCCTTGAGTGAAGCTCTAAAAACAACTGGATGAAAGAAGCATGTTTGAAACTATATCCTATCAAATATTCAAACAAATTCCCAATAAAACCAGCAAATTATTTCAATTAAATTTAGTAAGCCTTCAGACAATGCAGAGTATCGTACTGTGTTGGGTTGGTCAGAAGTGGCATGTTTCTGATGGGTCCAAATGTGTAGGATCCACTTTTCTAGAATGGTGTGTATGTTATAATCCAGACAATGGACAATGTCCAACACACTATTCTTACAATGGAAGGGGCAGCTAGAATAATGTGAATTAGGAATTACGCATCATGGTGATGCCCAAACTGCAACTTTAAAAACTTGAAAGTGTTAGTAAATTGATCGGATATGAATACATATGGAACCACTAAGAACACATTCCACAAATGAAAAGCAGTGTCCACTGTGCTTGTGGTTACAAGTTCTTAAATGAATTCTACTGGATCATGGTTTTGGGTCTAAAAATTGGGAATTATTTTAATTGACTCTTGGTGCATTGGGTATTAAAGGGAATCTTTCTTTAAATTATTACATTACACAAATAATAATTCTGCTCCTGTCCAAACTCATCATATAATACTATAAATATGATTATTATGTTATGGAAGTGATGTTTTGGAAAATTTAAAATTTTATTTAATTGTATTTTTTCACTCTGTGATCTCTTGCTGTATTATTACCTGCTGCAATATGTTATTTTTAATACAGTTTTGTTGTATATAATTAAAAACTGCCTGTAGATTTTCAGACAGGCAATATAAAGCTCTGTACATATATGATAGCATAAAATTATTTACATATATGCTGCCTATTTAGCAGACTTTGTAATAATAATACAAATTTGCTTTAAGATTAAATTTTAAAAGAAGTTTTATAGAAAGGGTACAGCACTGTATTGTACAGTTTTAAGTTTGAAGGTTGATTTCAGCTTTCAAACTTCAATTTTTATAAATATTGATGACTCACAGTCTTAACGAACGTGGGTGTGAATATACTATATATACATAAATTGTTGGGATGCTTTGCAGCTTGCTTAGAAAATGGACAGGAAATTGTAGATATGGCAGTGCAACTGCTTTGCATTCCTTAAAAGAATTACCCATGACAATGGGGGGGGGAATAGTTGGTGTAATCAGGCAGCTGGGTTTAGGGTGAATTTGATCATAATGAAAGAAACCAGATTAAAACTTTATATGTTCGTTATTGCAAAACAGGACAATGAAGAAAGATCTCATACTTGTGAAGAGAAAAATATGTACAAATGATAAAACTGAAAATCATTATTTTCCTGTAAAGGCTGTAAATAAGCAACAGCTTGGTATGGTAAAACTAAGTAAAGAGTACTTTATTATGAGTGATATAAAATGCTTTCTTTATACATTTTGTCCTTATGCTCCAGTCCTTACAAACATGCACATACAAAACAGCTTTACTCGTACATCACTGCAAACTAGCTTAGTGAAAGTTTCAGATCATCACAGTATTTATACAATTAAATTATTACTAGAAAAATCATATTAACGCTTTCAGGTGTAACTGCTGAATAGTTCCCATTTACATTTCCTGTGCTGAGTTGTTTCTGCAATATTCCTTAAATATGGAAATAAAAAAGAAATCGAGTATGTACTAACTCTTGCCTAACATGTAGATACTGATACAAAAACAATTCAAATTTAAATTCCCAGTACAGTTATATTTTATCATGTATCACTGCAAGTCTCAGTAAGAAAGATGTTAGAACTAGAAATATTTCCTCTGTAGGTTGAAAAATATTGATACATAAAGTGATGTAAAAGTTCCTTCATCGAGTTAGCAAACAAAAACTCATTGCGGATGATATTATAAATGCTGGTTGGAAACAGAATGTGATAAAATCCTGATATATTTGCATTACACTAAATTTATTTGTCAAAGAAATGCAGCAGCTCTGTCAAAAACACTTGCAATAAAGAAAGAAAATCACATAACACCTAAGCACACAAATACCTCGTCTACTTAAACTTTAAACGCCAATATCAGATAATGACTTGAGATATAATGTATGTGTTCATTTTGGTTTAATAATAACTTTAATTTCAGAACCTATAACTGAATAACCTCTTAATTAGGTACTTCAATTTGCTTGCTCAAGTGATTTGAAATCCTTAGTGTATAATGCTTGTTTTCTTCAGACTTCATAATTTCTTACAGCTGTAATTATTTTAATGCCAGGTCATGATGAATCACTCTGGAAGAATATAACATCATCTGCTACAATAGCTGTTGTCGTACGGGGATTTCCAGCTTCATCCTTGATTTCACCATATGTAAGTCTTCCTGAGACATAAACTCTCTGTCCCTTCTTGAGATAGGTATAAACTGTATCCCGTAATGTTGGTTTGAATACGCAGATCCGATGCCAATCTGTCCTCTGAACAAACTCACCTGAAACATGATTTACATGAACATATCAACTGTGCCATGGAGCAAAGTACTGAGTGCAACTTATAGGCATCCTCTGATTTGTATGAGGTTCTATTGGAAAGTTCCTGGACTGTTATTGTTGTAACTGCCTTCCTGAAAGAAGATGAGAGGGGAGGCTAAGGTCACACTTCTGTAAGCCTATTGCATCAGTCTGTCATGTGACACCATGCTGTGAAGATGTATTGTTTTTACAAGAGTGCTTTCTCAAACTTTGTGTTTTGTTCTGTCTGCAATACATGGCAAAATCGAGCTCGTCTGCATCAAGTTTTGTGTGAAGCTTGGTAAATACACTACAGAAACCTATGAAATGCTTTGGGAGGCTTTTGGACAACATTCTTTAAGCCAGACAGAGATTGTTGAATGGCATTCACGCTTCAAGGCTGGTCGAGTGTCAGCCGATGACAAACGTTCAGAGCAACCAAGCACCAGCACATCGACAGAAAATGTTGGCAGTGGACCATGTCATCTCATCTATTGCAACTTTCTATTTTGTTTTTTGTTTTGCATTAACCTGCTACCACTGAACATGGGCTGTTTTTTGTATTCAAAAGATATCTGTTTCACTGTTTAGTGACCAGTAGGGTAATAATCAAGTAATTTTCAGGGTTGAATGCAGCATGTACAGTAGGTATTTACACATTTGGACTGTTCATTATTTTTAATTGCCTTAATTACCCCTCTCAGTTACTCTGGATAATCAAGAGTTCACTGTAGTTAAACGGATAGTATATCTAAGTTGTATTTCTGGAACCAGACAAATGTTTAGGTAAATTTCCACCGCCCTCCCTAGAATGAAATTTTCTCCCCACCTACTGTATTCACCTTTGTGGACAGTACTCATCCTCTGTGTACTTTCATACTAGCATATCTATTGAATTTACATATATCTCAGTTTAAATGCCATGATGAAGGAAGGCCCTACTTCTAGGTGAAATTGGAAAAGGCCACTGTGTGCTAGTTACATATAACAGCAAGAATACGAGTGAACTTGATCTCTCCTCAATATTAGCTTTCCTAATGCAGTGTTTTCTTTTAAACTGTATTACAGAAATTCATACAATGTGGGTTACAGCAAGCACTGGTGTGGCTGGATCCAGTGAGCTGGAGGGAACTGGAAGTAACAGAAATGTTAAGATTGCTGTCTTCTAAGATGTGATGCCAACATTTTGGTAGCACATACTGCCTCAATCTCCTGGTACCCTGAAGATCGAGGCAGAATCAACAGACAGCTTTACCAAAATTAACAAAGGGGATTCCAACTATTATTAACGGTGTTATTTCAGCAAATCATAATAATTTCATAGGTCATAAGCTCACAAAGGACTCTCAACAGAAATTCGACCATAAAATTGTTATCATCGGCGACAGTCATGCTCGTGGCTGCGCGAATAATGTGAAAAGTAACCTCAGTGACAATTTTAGGACTGAAGGTATTGTAAAACCAGGAGCTTTCATGAGTACATTAACGACATCTGGGACTGGTGTTATTAAAGAGTCAACAAATAAAGACATAATAGTACTCTGGGGTGGAGCCAATGATATTAGTAGTAACAACACTTCGGAGGGATTAAAACATATCACAAACTTTGTGAAATTAAATAGACATACGAACATCATCTTAATGAGTGCTCCTCACCGATACGACCTACCAGAGTGGTCTTGTGTTAACTGTGAAGTGCAATCCTTTAACAGAAAACTAATGAAACTGATGAAGCCCTTCGAGCATGTTAATGTAGTAAATTTAGTCATGGAAAGGGAATGCTACACTAAACATGGTCAGCATATGAATAAGAAAGGCAAAAGAAAAGTAGCATCACAGTTGGCTATGTTGATAACCACTATACTGCAGGAACAAAGAACTGTACCGATTTGTTTACACTGGAAAAATAATTTAGAGGATGAGAAAACCCAAGCTTTAGGAGAATATAGTATAAGTATAAATAGTCTTAAAAAAATAGTATCTGATAAAGAGATAGTTACTTGTAATGTTATAAGGCAGGATGTTTCAACAGAAGAAACAAAAGAAAGCTCTGAAAAGGGGATACAAATAGGAAGCACAGAAAATTTAGAATACCCTTCAGTCAAGGTAGTTAGGTCATCTAAAAGACTGAAGAAAACAACAACAGTAACAAAGAAAAATGATTTTTTAGGGGAAAAGGAAAGGGTGTAATAGATAGCAATACACTCATAATATTTCATCAGAATATTTGTGGAATTAGAAATAAAACAGATGAGATGATATTTTCTTTGCTTCCTAGGCTGCCTCAGGTATTGTGTATATCAGAACATCACCTTAAACAACTAGAACTAGAACAGATTAATCTTGAAGGTTATAAACTTGGTGCTGCATACTGCAGGAAATCTTTACTCAAGGGAGGGGTGTGTATTTTTGTACATAAAGACTACAATTACCTAACGTTGGATGTAAACAAACATTGTAATGAACAAGAGATCGAGGCTTGTGCACTAAAACTAAAACTATCCACAGTTAACATATATATAATCACAGTTTACAGAGCACCATGTGGCAACTTTATTTCATTTCTTAAAGGACTAGATAACATTATTAAGTCAATCTATAAAGCTGAAATGAATTTGGTTATATGTGGGGATATAAACACTGACTATCTCATAGTCAGTGATAGGAGAAGGCAATTAGATGCTCTATTATTATCATATAACCTAAGGGCAACAGTGAATTTCCCTACCAGAGTTCATAATCACACAAGTACAGCAATAGATAATATATTTATAGATAAGCAAAAATTTATAAAATACAGTGTTTCCCCTTTATATAACGGATTATCTGACCATGATGCTCAATTGTTATTTATAAAAGATATAGACACTCAAATAGATAATCACAGTGAATATTATACTAGAAGCATAAATAAATATTCTGTGGAGGAATTTAAAAATAGACTGAGTTACGAATCCTGGGACAGTATATTTAATGACAATGGCAATGATGTAGACGTCTTATTTAACACATTCATGAATAACTATTTAAGAATAGTCCACACAAGCTTTCCCCTTCGAAAAGTAAGTAGAAGGAATAACAATAGACAGTGGATAACAATTGGTATAAAAACTTCCTGTAACCATAAAAGACAGCTATATTTACTATGTAAGAATAGCAATGATGTCACTTTAAAGAGACATTATAAACAATACTGTAAAATATTAACTAGAGTAATCATTGAAGCTAAAAAGACTTGGTATAATAAGCAAATAAACAACTCTTCAAATAAAATGAAAACAGCATGGAACATTATAAGATCAGTAACAAACAGAAAGGAAGATCATACTGCTAGTAAACATGAAAACTCCCCTGATGCCTTCAATGATTATTTTCTAACTATAGCTGAACATATTGCACAGAAAATTAAAAACAGAGATACAGGAAGCTCAATGGGCACCAAAAATATAAGCCATTATCTATCTAGGATGTCAGAAATTCCTTTTCCTGATATCAAATTTAAAAATACAACAACTATAGAGATAGAAAGAATTATCAACTCTATTAGAACAAAGAATTCTCATGGATATGATGGAATCACCACAAAAATGCTAAAAGTTAGTACCCCCTTTATAAGTTCTCCTTTAAACTATATCTGTAATAAATCTATAACGTTAGGAATTTTTCCTACTCGTTTAAAATACTCCATTATGAAACCACTATTCAAAAAGGGTGACAAGAGAAATATAGCTAATTATAGGCCAATTTCTCTATTGACCACATTCTCAAAGGTGTTCGAAAAAATTATCTATCAAAGACTCCTGCAACATATTGAAGGTAATAATATTTTAGTAAATGAGCAATTTGGGTTTAGACCAACCACATCAACAGACAATGCATCTTACAAATTGATAAATGAAATTATGAAGGCAATGAATGAAAAAAAAGTGGTTGGGGGCATTTTTTGTGATCTGCAGAAGGCATTTGATTGCGTTAACCATGATATCCTATTAACAAAGTTAGAATTCTATGGAATAAGAGGAATATTCCTCAAACTAATGAAATCTTACTTGGAAGGTAGACACCAAAAAGTGGTCCTAGATAATAATTCCCCTGAGGCAAGTTCAAATTGGGGAGAAATAAAGCACGGTGTCCCCCAGGGTTCAATACTTGGACCATTGCTTTTCTTGCTTTATGTGAATGACTTACCAAAGATAGGTAATAATAAGGCTGAAATGGTTCTTTATGCGGATGATACTAGTATAATTGTGAAAAGTCTCAACCTAACAGATTTTACTAATTGTGCTAACAAAATTCTTCAAGATATGAAAAACTGGTTTACTACAAATTTGTTATCCCTGAATGAGGATAAAACACAGTATATGCAATTTGTAACCAAAAGAAGCTCCCTAGTAGACTTACATGTAATGTATGAGAGTAGAGAAATAGCAAATACTAGTAATGTAAAGTTTCTTGGATTGACATTAGATAGCACTTTTTCTTGGAAAAACCATATAGATGCAATTATTCCTAAATTAAGCTCAGCCTGCTTTGCAGTTAGAGCTATTAAGCCATTCCTGTCCCTCGAATCGCTTAAGTCAGTATATTTCTCATACTTCCATTCCATAATGACCTATGGATTGATATTTTGGGGGAACTGTTATTATAGTAACACAATATTTAAACTCCAAAAGAGAATTATTAGAATTATGGTAGGGATTGGAAATAGGAAATCGTGTAGAGAATACTTTAAAAAACTAAATATATTACCTTTACAATCACAATATATATATTTACTTTTGATATTTGTGATTAAGAACAGTGAACACTTTAAAAGAAACTCCCAGAGGCATAACAGAGACATTAGGAACAGTCTCGATATGCATTACCCACGGTCTCATCTGTCACTGTACCAAAAAGGCTTACATTATACAGGGATTAAGGTTTTTAATAGACTGCCTGCTCCTATAAAACTATTGTCAAATGATATAAAACAATTTAAAAGCGCATTGAGGGAATTTCTGTATCTTTATTCCTTTTATTCATTAGAGGAATATTTTAATATAATACAATAATATATTTTATAATTTTATTTTGATTTTATATTTATAATGTTATATATTTGATAATATTATATTTATATCTTGATTTTAGCATACTGTGCAGAAATGTGATAAATCTATTATATGTTTAGCCTATTCTTATTTTATTGTACCTATTTTATTGTTGACAAAGCTCTGTATAGGAACTGTTTTTTCTTTTATAATTAACTTTGACATGTTCTACATCCTGTGGCATGTTTGTCAATAACGATCTATGGAACAAATAAAAAGTGAAAGTGAAAGTATATTCCTCCAAAACATTAGCAAATATCCAGGTTATTGAGTATCACACACCCCAGAAGGCAGTAATTTTCAGTCACTGCAAGGAGAGTCTCAAATCTCGCATTGATCTCCATGTTGGCTAGAATTTAACATTTAAAAGAGTGACAAAAGCACTTTTGTTTTTCTGCCCTTTCACAGTTTTCGTTTGTATGGCACAATTTAGTACTCTTTAGTATCAAGTTACAGACAACCAGGAGGGTCATGGTACTATGGAACCTGAATACTAGATACTGGTGGAAAAAGAACAAGAATGAAGCCTCCTATCCAATGGGTAGCAAGGGCGCTTTCCTCCAGGTTAAAGCAGCCAGGGCATCAAGCTGACCACTCACCTCCATCTAGTGCAGAGGTTACGAAGGATGGATCTATACCTCCACTTCCCCATGAATCGTCATATCATAGCGGCTTACTGATTAATTAATTACACAAGGAAAATTTTACCTTTACCTGTGTGACTTTGTAGCATAACAGTCTCAATTCAGATACTTGCTCTGCTAGGACAGCTGCATAATAAAATAAGCAAGTTTCATAAAGACTTCTTCAGGTATTTAAAAGTTGATTGGTGGGGGGTGGGATTCATAAGCCATTTATTTTTTCAAAATAAGGAAAGTGAGCTAAAAATGAAAAGATTTTATTCATAAGCACAATAAACATACACAAAATAAAACAAATGTCTTCGTGTTAAGCACAACAATAAATGTATGAGTTCATAACATCTATCAATACCTCAGATTCCTCAATGTCTGTGTTCATATATGAAGATAGAGTGTTTAACAGACAAACAAGAGATGCATCATGCAGAACAAGAAGTATATAATATATCATAATTCCTTACCTGTATCATATTTGTAATTTGTATGTGTTGCAAGGGAGAATATAACAACGGGATGCTCTTCTGTACCTCGCTTTTGAGGTTCCCCACCAACACGACCCAACAATGTGACTTCATTTAATGCTAAAACAATTCACACTCCACCTTAAACATCAGCATTATCCACTCAACTACAATAAAATACAAACTGTAATATGTTTAACCCTTTAATTAACATTTAATTATATCATTACTCATATTTTTACATATTTATATCACTACATACTTTTTTCCATTCTTGAAGGTTCAACTTGTTGTGTAGCCAATCTTGCTGTTTGACCTGCGATATTACCAGTCAGTGATGTTTTGGTTACGAGACTCAAGAGCTGCAAAAGTACACATCAACTTACTTTCGGCATTTAGCAGATGTAAATGGTAGCGTAAGCAACCTTGTGGCTTGAAGTAGATGAATATTTGTGCTGACTGTAGGGTGCGTTCAATATTAATTAATTCAAAATTATGACACCATGTGAATTATTTTCTACGTTATGTTACAGTGAGTTCTGGCATAATGCAGAATTTACGACTTGCATTTTCTCATGCACTTCAGTTGGAAGTAGTGTAATGAAGGTGACACGGGAAGAACTTATATCTTCCATGTAAGAACATATCGTTGATTTAACACATGCGTATGTAGGGTGACTGATTCGAAACAGATCTGGCGTTTTCTTTAGTATATATGAAAGACACTGTCTGTGCATCGTAATCCGGCATCCGAATACGCACAAATAAGACGTCTTTAACCTACGCCGGCAAGAAGTGGAAATGATAAGCAGTTATGTTTCAATATTTCGTATAACTTGCTAACAACTTATATTTATAAAAACTGATTCCTTACCGCCCGCCTCATCATGATGAAATAGTGCAAACTCGAGACAGGTTCTTTTCACACACTGAAAACTTAAACTTCTAACTGAAGAACAATGGCGCCATTACTTCCATCACACACAACACTATATGCGCAGTCGCGATCGTCGCGATCGTCGCGATTTCCTAGTCATGCAGGTCGTGCAACTGAACAGAGCGATGGGGGAACATTGTAAATATTAGCTGAAATTTGAGTCGTGATATATACAGCAATATAACAAATTCATAAAATTACTAGCTCAGAGACATGTTTTAAACGGTTCCATAAGCAAACATCGGCCCCAGACATTACTAAAGTTCCTCATGAAATGTTATTGATAAGTTTTATAAGTTCAGCTCCCTGATGGTAACGACGCGCAGTGCGTTGGTGTGCGGAATATCAAATACCAGAAATGGCTGTCAAAGCTGTTTAGGCGGCCTTTTTTTGTTATTTTATTATGCTTATTCACAGTAGCAATGAGTGAATTTAAATTGCACCACTTGGTGACAGAGCTAATAGAACATTTGGGGTAACTAAAAATTCCTCTTGTATGTGAGATGATGTGGCATGTTAGAAGTGTTTAATGTTGCAGTTTCGCGTTTGAATTTGATGTATAATTTCGAATTTTCTGCAGCATTTAACTCTCTTAAGCTTTATATGTTTAAGCTCATATTTTAATGTATACAGGAAGGTTTTGCGAATGTTACTTTCGAATGTAATATGTAGTGCTAACCGAAAGTTAGAAACTTGATTTGGGCTATGACATTCACATCTAGAATTTGAGGTTTTTCACTTCATTGAAACTATTAAGAGCGCGCTCGTCCGAGCTGTGGCATTGTGTGGGCTTTCAGGTGGATACCAACATTTTGGAAGAGCTTGCGGCCTCCATCATCGGGGTACAAGTTGAAGTATTGCATCTTACTAGAGCAAGCTGTCATTGTATCATGAAGTGTACCAAGAGTTGAAAGAAAACTTCTGGAGTTTGATAACTTTTAGTTACAAAGAATTATTTATTAAAATGTATTTGAATGCCCCACATTGATGTGTGATGGACATTTTGAAGCTGGAGAAATTTGTGCTCGTTTGCTTCGAGAGTAATGACATTCTGCAGTTTGTTGCAGTTTGTCGAACAGTGACCCTCACTTACTCCTTCATGGTTTCAGCATTTAGTTGCAAGGAGTGGTTGCTTTCTTCAGCACGTTACAATATTTATACTTCTCTTTACCTGTGTGAGATACGAAGCTTCCACAGCAGATAAATGTGTCAAAATATCAGGGAACTGAAGACCAACATTTCAGAGATCTCCTTTGTCTCCAGTATCAGGGTTAGTGTGGTGAACAGCCATATGTTGCTGATACATATACTGGTTTGTCAAATTGATGCCTCTTCCTGTTGGTGTACTATGCAGTATGAGGGCAGAGTCATATTATTTTATTGCTTTTTTGACAAGTCAGTCCGTGTAGCCTTATGTTTAGAACAGCAGTTGAGTCTTATGGAACAGGCCCCCAGATCAAGTTCCATGATGCTGAAGTGCTAACCGAAACATCAGGCATCATGGATCGACTTATTACAGATCCAATAGAAATGGAATTACATCCAAATAATATCAACAGAGAGGAATGGTTCAAACCCAGCAAGCATGGAATCTGAGCATAAGTGTTTTAAGGCACTCCACAAATTTCACAAAAACATCAGCAAGACGCAGAGAAGAGCAGTTGACACCAGGGACACCAGGTTAAGCAACTTGGTCGTAGATGAGAGTTGGACGAGTGACCACACAGTTTGACTCCACCCTTCTACTGCCTAGTACACCAATAAGAAGAGGCATCGATTTGAGGAACTGGTATAAATATTAGTAACATCGTTGCTGATGAAAACCAAGGAGTTATTTCAAACGTTGATTTTAATTCAGCATTGACACAGCTGATATGATAACCTGAGAAGATTTTAGCTCTGCTGTTTACCTCTTTACCATTTTCTGTCTCTTGGGATGTGATATGTTTTATGTGCACTAGTTTAGTATGTTTTATATGTCATTTTATGTGCCCCTAGGATTATAAGTACCCATTCTTAACAGTTTCTTGTCATCAACCCCCCCCCCCTTTTTTTTTTGCTCCAATTTGGCTTCTGCGAATGGCATACATTTCTATTATGCAGTCATATTTAAATATTTCAGCTCACGTGCTTCACCTGAATGGTGTGTTGAGAACCTCCAGAAAGACTCAGCTGCTACATCATTGTCTTCATACAACCATGTAACACAAAGCTGTATTAGGCAGCTTGCCAGGAAGAGTCCAGATCCTCAGAGTTTCATTGCAAAATATGAAGAACTGAAAGCTAAAGAGTATGATATAATGAACATGTAGTATTTAGACTAGTGTTTAGAAGATACAAGATTTATGAGCCAGGGTATCTCATTGAGTGTAATGAGTAGGTTACAGACTGGATAGCTTAGGAGTTGGGGCTCTATTCCCAGGAGGAGTGAGAGGTGCTTCTCCATAGTGTCCATACTGGCTCTGGGGCCCACCAACCCTTCTGTACAATAGGTGCTGATACCTGTTTCCCCCATGGGGTTGAAGTGGCAGGATAAGAAGCTGACTATTCTCCATTTAGTGCTGAGGTTACAAATGGTGGAGCTGTGCCTCAACTCCCACATATATATTCATTAAGTGGTCCTTAATTAATTAAGCCCAGGGATCACTGTACCTCCTATTATCATTATTATTATAGCACCCATCAATAATGCAACAATATATTTAACATATAAAAGACATCTAAAATATGTTTCTCACTAAAAATGTAACTTTAATACTTTACAATGTTGTTAAAATCATAAAATGTAATTAAGACAGTAAAAGTATAACTTATACCCTAAAAGTGTACATATGTTAAAAATATTGTTGCATTACTGACGGGTGCTCTAATAAGGATAATGCCTCAATGCAGCGGGATGCTGAAATATAATATTTACCTCCTATACCTTACATGTGCCGGTCACGGTAACCGAGCGGTCTAAGGCATGCACTGTCTTCGCTCGCTCGAAAGCCGGGATCGTGGGTTCAAATCCCACTCAGGACGTGGATGTTTGTGTGCGTTTTTGTGTTTGTGTACAGGTAGAGGCCTTGTGATGAGCTGATCACTCGCCCAAGGAGTCCTACCGAATGTGTAAGATCTAGTAAACCAAAGTGAAACGGAGAGTTTCATGGAGGTAGGCCTAGGCCCAAATTGGGGCTGTAGCGCCACAGAAAAAAAAATACCTTACATGTATGAGGGAGGGGGGATATGTTTACAAAATTGTAAACCGGTTGTTTAGTTTTAGTTAGAATGGTTTGTAACTTCAAATAGAGCCAGAATCTGAATTCATTGATACATTAAGCAGTGGTGAGTAAGTTAGAAATGTTTATTCATCTTTTATTTTTGTTGCAAGTGGGGTGGGACTAAGTCCCTTGTACTGTGCCCACTTCTGGCCTATTGTAACAGCCCCAGATGATAGGTGAGGGTGATTGTGGAGCAGTTGGTGGAATGAAGATTAGCAAGGGAAACCGAAATACTCGGAGAAAACCTGGCCCAACGCCACTTTCTCCACCACAAATCCCACTTGACTAGACCTGGGATCGAACCCAGGCTGCCGCAGTGGGAAGCCAGCGACTAACCGCTTGAGCTATGGCGTGGCCTTATTCATCTTAATTAACTACATACAGGTTGGGCCTCTCAAATCAAGCACCCTTGAAACCAGATTGAAGTCAGACCAGAGAGTTGTCAGAAACTTCAGTAGTCAATATATTATGGTACCAAAGTGCCCAAATAAGCCATTATAGTACTATGTATAATGTATTAGTGTTGTTACACAGTTTTAAGGTGTCTGTACAAGTAAATAAAGAGAGAAAATATGGATGACATATGGCAAAAATACAGAGTAGTTTATTGCTTAAGTGTGGGTCCAGTATTGTAACATAGATTAACTTTTGCCAGATCATCTGTACAATTGAATGCCCGATTTGAAAGCTTCAGTCTATAATTCCTTTAAGCAGAGCCCTTTAAAAGCTAATAGTTGCTTAGTTAGTCAAGAAATTGCTAGCTTTTTATGGAACATGAAGAGCTCACCATTGGGCCCAGTCATGACCAAGATTAAATCAGTACGTAGCTCTTGCTTTGTGTTTTAACATCAATGAATTGCATATATTAACTGTAAATTAACCTCACATTTAGTCAAGAGTATGTATGCTTACTACTGCAAACGTCTACAGATTCAGAGAACAGAACATGCTCACTTCGTCTGTGCTGTCAAAGAAAATGACATATCATCAACATTGTATTAAATGTACATGGGTCTTTAGTATGGCACATGCCAGTTCCCTTATACACCAATTTGATATAATAGCTTTTCTTATTGTAATATGAAAGGTAGAATTTTAACAGTTTCTTTATAAATAAATCTTAAATTGCAGCACTGATTGTCTTCGACCTTTTGTTCAATTATTATCTGTAATCTCAGAAGACAGGAAATTGAAAGAATATCTTCAGAAAAATGCCAAGAAAGCTACAACAGAATTACAGAATCCCCAGGTCTCGCAAGGATCAATAGGAAGCATAAGTGGTGCAGTAGCAGATTCGAAGGTTATAGAGAATGTAACTACAAAAGATCTGCCTAGGGTAAGTTTTTGGTAGTAAATTGATAATGGCTGTTCAGATATATTTTATGGTAAGCTTTACATGAGGTGTTGCAATAATTGTGTTTCTGACACTTTTACCTGACCCAGATTCGTATCCGCCTGCAAAAGGAAGCAGAAATTGCTTTAGGGAAAAGAACTTTACCTTCCAGTAAAAGGGAGAACCAAGGAAAGGCACGCCATCCCAATTACCATTCACCTGTTATGCCAAACTGGAACAATGTAAGACCAAATATGAACCTGGATTTCATCACAGATCACAGTGGGCCAGCATTATTTTCTGCTCCCCTTGGTAAGAATAAACCCAGATATTAAAGAATATATTTTAGATTGTGTTCTTAACTTTGTTCCTAAAATAAATTGATCTTGAATTTTAGGACCAATTCCAGTATGCTCCCAAGAGAGTATGCTCTTAGAAGACATACTGTCTTGTCTTGAAGGAGCAGAAGGTGATTATATTGTCCCAGATCCTCTGCAGGGTCCATATGAAACAAGAATGTTCAGCATTAGTGAAAGCGTTGGTAAGTGTAGAACGAATGACAAAATCATTATCGTAATCTTCTGTAAAGATGCAAGATTTTAAAGTTCTCACAGTGCTGATTATGAAGAGTATTCTGTCTAGAATGTGACACTATATGGTCTGGAAGAAGTTCACTCGTGTTTCAGATGAATGTACTGCCTCTGTCTTTAGTATCAAAAAGTAAGCTGAGAAAGTAGCAAGCAGCTTGGTTTTGTCACTTTGTCATCTCAGTGGAAGTCAAAATNTGTGTTCTTAACTCTGTCCCTAAAATAAATTGATCTTGAATTCTAGGACCAATTCCAGTATGCTCCCAAGAGAGTATGCTCTTAGAAGACATACTGTCTTGTCTTGAAGGAGCAGAAGGTGATTATATTGTCCCAGATCCTCTGCAGGGTCCATATGAAACAAGAATGTTCAGCATTAGTGAAAGCGTTGGTAAGTGTAGAACGAATGACAAAATCATTATCGTAATCTTCTGTAAAGATGCAAGATTTTAAAGTTCTCACAGTGCTGATTATGAAGAGTATTCTGTCTAGAATGTGACACTATATGGTCTGGAAGAAGTTCACTCGTGTTTCAGATGAATGTACTGCCTCTGTCTTTAGTATCAAAAAGTAAGCTGAGAAAGTAGCAAGCAGCTTGGTTTTGTCACTTTGTCATCTCAGTGGAAGTCAAAATCAAAACTGATTTTGGATACTTTATTGTAAGACCAGGATAACCTCAATAAATGTCACTCGGTATTGTGGCATCAGTCTTTACTAAGAAAGATGATTGTAGACTGTTTTCTTCTTGTTCTGACAAGCTGTTGTTGCAGATATTTTCAACGTTATTCAGTAAATTTTTTATTTCAGAATTTTTCTCAAGAGCTATGATGTTCAGTAGCAGATCAGTGGGAGTGTTACCTATGAAAACCATGATGAGAGATGAAAATTATAAGAATTTCTCGTTCAGTTTTTAGCAGGTGTACCACTAGCAAGTTTAAGTAGAATATTTTTCATTTCAGATCCCTCTCTGCGTGAATTCACAGAAAAGATTTTACCTCTTGCATCGCATTATTCCATGGTCATGCGATTCATCCAGGAGAAGAGCCAGTTTGAATATGGACAAGTGAATCATGCTCTCACAGCTGCCATGACTGCCCTGATGAAGGACTACATGGTGTTTGTGGCTCAGTTGGAGACTGCCCATCGCAAAGGCAGTTTTACTCTACACAAACTCTGGTTCTTTATTCAGCCAACACTTCACACAATGGAAATTTTGGCAAACATTGCAAGCACTATTAGCAAAGTGAGTCCCTAAGATAACATACCTTTTAAAAGAGTCTTATTTTGGGAGTGGTACAGCTATTGTTGTTGGAAGAAATACATGTCTATATGCAAGGAGTTTTGGAGCACAAGTGAATAATATTGTAATGTGTCTCGAATCCAGAAGAGTCGCTTCTATGGAAACGCTAGAACAGACCGTTGCATAGGAAACAACAATCGCTCTATTGTAGTTCTAACAGGAGTCTCCATGGTTATAACAAAGGGTTCGTTGCAGAGCAGCGACCAAGGTTATATAGCGGGGTTGGATGCATTCGCACAGTCAGTCTTGGAACAACCGCCAGAGAGGACAGTCCAGTGTCGGCCGAGTTATTGTAAGCAGTACTTGTAACACTGCAAATGGTAATGGTTGTAAAGTGTGAGCGAGCGGAATAAATTCGCTATATCAGACAATGGCATGAATTTATTTGTAGCGTGACACACAAAACACGCTACAATATGTTATAGATACTGTCACATTTAGGCCGTGTTGCTGTATAGTCTGTTAGATATTTACTGATATTTCAGAGCAGTGTACTACCTCTGTCATCTATTCTGAAGATGGAAGCACAATCTTCCTCTGAAACTTAAATAAACTTGTGAAAAAAAGGTAATGCTATCCCTGTAACAGGCCATGGGGCCCCGTCTTACTGACTGTCTCACATACCAGAAGAATGTAATCTTCATAGGCACTGAAGGTCATGAATTTTTACATGAGTGAGGATCCATTGACAGACAAACAGCTTCTTTTTAGTCACTATTTTCTTTATTACTTGGTGGGTTGGGACTGAGTCCACTTGGTACTGCGGCCACTTCTGGCCTATTGTACCAGCTCCAGATGATAGGTGAGGGTGATTATGGAGCAATTGGTGGAGTGAAGATTTGCAGGGGACACCGAAGTACTCTGAAAAAACCTGCCCCAGCGCCACTTTTCCCACCACAAATCCCACTTGACCAGACCTGGGATCGAACCTGGGCCACCTCGGTTGGAGACCAACGACTAACTGCTTGAGCTATGGCGCGGCCTTTTAGTCACCATACAAGTATCATGTAAAGTGTTTTTGACTTAAATGAATTTTGTATTAATGCAATATCCTGTTAACTTTTTAATTTATTTATAGTGAAGACCAAAAGGTAATTAAGACTCATAAACAGATAAAATGGATGGTATTACAGTTAATTAAATTATGTACTTTTCAATGAAAGTTAAAGGGCAGTAAAATCAAAGGATGATAAAAATTTCAGTTACAGTAATTTGAGGTATACAACTACTTCATTAAGCAGGTTTTCGTGATGGTAATGCCCCAGACTTGTATTCATGAGGTGTTGGTTCAAATCTCAGGCAGGAAACCAGCTGTCCTGACTATGGTTTTATTGTGGTTTTGCTCAGTCCATGCAGGCAAATGCCAGGCCACACCTACGTCCTTCCAATCATCAGTCATCCTATTGTTTTACACCTAGATACTGAAAGCATTTTAAAGTAGACCACATGCATGGCTACTCTTGGGAATGTGACTGCCACATAAATTGGGGGATGCTGGGACTTACAGTATTAAAACATTTTGAAAGCAATGTGCTTTAGTGTTTAAATTATTTATGAAGAATGCCATCTTCTGAGATGTGGCACTGTGCAGATCTTGTGACGTTTCGAAGCAACTTATCACCTCCATCTTCAGGGTAGAAAAATTCGTGAGTGAGGAACCAGCATGAGAAGGTGGCTCAGTGTATTGGTTTAACGGTAATTTTTATTACAGTATTGATTTTAATCGTTTCTTGCATCCTGTTATGTGTTTAATCAATAGTAGAGTGAATTTACTGACTACACAACACGGTTTTTATTTTCACATTATCACTACATGTTTCGACCTTAAAAGGTCATCTTCAGGTGTATGAACATGGCCATAATAAAAAACGTGTTGTGTAGTCGGTAAATTCACTCTGCTATTGAATATTGATGATTCTTAACACATTGACTGCCTTGACCCTTAGGATTTTACTGGTGGCCAGAACAGAAATGTAAGAGTGCAGTTGAATAATCAATAACTTGTGTACATTTTGGTTCTCAAGCTCTGACAAACTACATCTTAAAATTTCTCTGCATATTAATATTTATGTATGCAATGGCAGCAGGCTCTCATTTGACATGATCTGCATTGACACACAGTAAACTTTATCCCAGCAGGTGGGAGGATTAATGGTGAATGTGTTAATTTTACATGACTGCTTGTAGTAATCTGAATAAACAGATGTGTAAAGTTGACTGTATGCAATGTTTTAGTCTGGAGCCAAAGGTGGTAAAGTGTTAAGCTTGCTACATGAGCGGACTTCAAGTTACACAGGAGATCCTACGGGTCAAGAACTGTGTTTGTATCTAACACAAAAAGCATGTGTACCGTACATGGAAATATTAGAAAAATGGGTGTACAAGGGAGTCATCTGTGATCCATATCAAGAGGTGAGTTGCTTTTCTATCACGAAAATTAATTCTTTATTCCATATAAGTTGCTATTGTATAGTTTCAGTTCTGTTTCTTTTTGGATACTTAAGTTTGAAGTAAGATGTTAGTGTAATGTACTACAGTAGAATGGTATGAGCCATTTAAATTTAATTCCTGCTACTACATTAGAAAGAATGATGGGTTCAAAGGTTACAACAATATTATTATTATAGTAGCTTTTGTTTTATAAGCAGCGTTAGCCCTGAACCAAAAAATTGGTATGGGGGGGGGGTGGAGTCCAGTTGGGTCCACTTGGCACGGCGGCCACTGATTGGCCTGCTATACGTGACCCGGGTGGTTATGATGATGGAGAATTTGGTCGAATGAAGATTAGCAGGGGAGACCAAAGTACCTACCCCAGCGCCACTTTGTCTACCACAAATACCACTTGACCAGACCCAGGTTTGAACCTGGTCCGCCACGGTGGGAAACCAGCGACTAACCACTTGAGCTATTTTTGCGGCCTAATAGCCCTGAACCAGATAACCATTCTGCATAACTCATGTATTATTTTAATATCAATGCCATGTTCCTCTAGTTTGTCATCATTGTTAACTGATTTATTGGCTGTTAAATGTGTACAGGCTTGGGCTTGTTTTGCTGTGTTTATTTATGGGTTATTTAATGATGCTGCCAGTAGCTTTGACTGTGCAGATAGGATGGTTATTGAATGTTGAATTGGAAAGGATGTGGAAGGAAGTGATTATGGCCCCGTTTAAGGTAGTAGCCTGGCATTTCCATAGAGGGACTGAGGAAAATTTAAAAAAATATTACTCAGGTTAGTTGGTGTCACAGTAGAGGTTTGACCCAGGTACAGATAATCCACTGATCTGTACAGATCAAAGCCATTATGGCGTGAGTCATCATGCTCAGTTTAAGCTGTTCTGTGGCAAGCAACAGGCTGTTATACCACTTTGAAACAATTTTTACTATGCAGTGTGTTCCTTCAAGCACAGATCCCTCAAGCCTAACATTCTTAGGATTTTCCTAAGCTCTTCTAGGCAATGACAGGATGGTGCCTAAAAGGCTAGATAGGCTACAGCCCCTCTTTGTTCCACCCTATTCATGTTGAAATACCGGCATTGAGTAATCCACAGTTAAAATGTGGAGAGATGGGTTGCTCAGTTGATATAGTGATGGGCTACAGGTTGTTTTGCTGGGGTTCAGTTCCTGGTAAGGACAAAATTTGTTTCTTCACAGCGTCCAGATCTGCTGTGGGGCACTCTGTCTGCTATCCATTGGGTAAGGGGGGGGGGGATTCTTTCCCCTGGGATAAAGCAGCCTGGGTGTAAAGCTGACCACTCACTTCCATTTAATGCCAAGGTCAAGAATGGTGGAGCTATACCTCCACTTCCCCATATGTCTTAGTGGCAGAGGGTTTAATTAATTAATTAAGCACAGGGACAACTTTATGTTTACAATTAGAATGTGTTTTGTATAGTTTCTGGTAGAAGATAATGAAGTGATTCAAAAGGAGGAGCTGCCTTTGGACTATTCCGCTGATTACTGGGAGAAACGCTACACTATCAGACGTGAAAGGATCCCTGTTTTCCTGGAGAGGGTGGCTGATGTAATTTTGCGCACAGGAAAATATCTTAATGTCATACGTCAGTGTGGTGAGTCATGCTATCAGTCCTGTATCTTAATATTTAATTCTTACACTGTATACGTAAAGAAAGAGAGATTGTGATGTATTGAGAATTAGTCACTTATTTTTCTGTGGCTAATTAGATATCAGGAATAGAGGGAGAATCCTTTAGGCATTTCTGTTCTTTGAATGACTGAGTGCAGGTAATTCAGGGAGAGAGGGGGATCTATGAGGTTGGATTTCCCAAATTTGTATTTAGAATATGGAACCAGAATTGATTGGAAATGTTTTTGAGTATTGTAGAGTTTCATTGCATGTGTTCCATATCTAGTGTTTCAGTTTTCAAGCACAGTACATTAGGATATGTCACAAGCTGCATTGAGGTACATGTTTCATTCACAGTAGCTTAGACTTTGATGGTTAGACAACCGTACTGTGAAATTTGAGGTGATTGTGAGGCAGGTGATTACAAAGATCACTGTCTTGTGGGAAGTGATATTGTGTAATCTGTTACACAGGACTAAAAATTATGATGATTGTGCTACCCTCAATCTAGAAGACCACAGTGTGAACACACTCTACCATGAAACCTGAAAACTTACAAAGGAGAGTTGCAGGAATTTTTAAATATATTTTGCATGTTTGGGTATGGTCTTTATACAGGTAAAATTCTAAACGTATCCCTGTAACAGGCCATGAAGGCCCATAGGGTTGTCAGGCATCAAGGCTCCTACATTTTCTCTAGACAGTCGGCTCAGAGATAGCAGTAAGATTGTCAGCCTTATGCTGTGGCCGCCCTTTACCGCCAGGAAGATTCCTGGTACTCATTTCTGTTAAGAGGCTGAGTTGACCCTAGGGCCATAATGAGATGGAAGGATAAGGTAAATTGAAAATAATCACTTAATCAGGACTTGAACCTGTGACCTACTGGATTGTAGCATAGTGCCTCGACCAACTACACTGCCACATGCCACCTCTATACAGGCATGCATGTAATTTTTACTGTCGTACAGCAAGAAAGCTGAATGGAACCATTCCATACAGATTGTTTTGCAAATATTACATTTTTAATACTGATGCTGTCATGCCACATACTGAGTTTGTGTGTATATATGATGAACATATAATCAGAATTCATGGCTGCATAATTTAAATCCATACTTTGAACTTTTTTTTAGTTGAAGGACACCATTTTGTGGGTTATAAAGCTGTGTAGTTTGATAGAAGGCAACTAACATGTTGGAGGAATATATTGCTTCCTTGCTACACAGTAGGCAGAGGTCTGCTTGCTACCTGCTTCATGCTGTTTCTTGCTTCGTCTTCAAGGCGGAGATATGTTCCTCCAAAATGTTGGCCTACTTCTGCTAAACTACACAATATCACATTCTGGAAGATCATAGTTTCATCATCACAGCTGTGAGGACATCAAATGCAACTTTCATTCGGTTTTTCCTTTCGCAGGTAAGAATGTGAAGTCTCCACAGGCAGAGGAAATTGTGTACACAATTAAGAAACGGCAGTATGTGGAAGCCATTGAGAAAGCTTACCACTTTGCAAGCATAACTCTTTTGCAGCTCCTTATGCAGGAGAATGATCTCATGGGCAGATTGCGGTATGTGATGCATTATATATCCCACTGTGTTAAAAATATATTAAGAACTGCACTCTAAAATATTTATCTGCACTCACTGATATAACACAAACTGTGTCATCAGAGTCACCATTTAGCGAACAAGAACTACAGGAAGGAATTTTGTTGGGTTGTTTACTGCAAGGAAACTGTTGACACATTTAATGTCAAAACTTTCTCCAGCTGTTTTTTTTTTAACGAAATTTGCTCTGTATCAATCATGGCCTGAGTTACTTTCATGCACTGCTTGCAATAGTTATTAACTTCTCCAAGAGATGTTGTGTCGTATCCGTGGGTTGCGAACCACGTATTGAAAATCCCACCCACTGTTAAAGTACTTACTTTAAGGATGTTATGTGTTTATCTGAGGGGGAGCCCAAGAACTTGTGTATGTATCATAACCCTTATATGGAGTGAGCGTCACAGACCAGAGGGAATGCGTAAGCCAGATTAGTTTATACAGGTATTTCTGGTAGTCTCACACTGGAGCAAAGAAATGTAATGCGGAGACAAGAACACTTGAGGACACACGCTACGTCATTTCAGGGGAGCTTCATGTGGGAACCTATAAAATTCCCTGCAAATTAAATGGAGAGGGGGAGTCCCCATCTAGCACTTATTCTGAGCAGTTACGCTGCTACACAGGTCGTTCGCCTTGGGTGTTCTGAGGTCTCGGTAAAAGCTATTGTACATATCATCCTTTTGAATAAATAGTCTTTATTCACCAACCACCGAGGATTGTTCTTTGAGTTAAATCACTCTTAAACGACGCCTTACCCAGCGGCTCTACAGCAACCTCAGCAGTCAGCATCTGCTTGGCTCATTTGTAGGCAAGTATTCCAGCTGCATGGTCAAGGGCCCACGACCCTCTGCTCGGAATACGACAGTTGCTGAACTGCATCTCCCTTTATGGCTGCATTCCGAAGCATTGGTGGACAGATTTTCATTCAGTATTTATAGTTGCAGATGACAAAACATTTGTTTATCTGATCAAAACTTCATGTTTAGAAAATATAGTTGCATCAGGCATTTGAATGGTCCTTTAAATACATGGCAATGATTGTCTTAAAAGGAAGTGAATTGTTATTTCCTTATTCTAAAATGATAGATGATGTATATGTATTGTAAATACAGACTTACATCTTACATCATGATCTGCAAGACTAGAAATGATGCTTAACCAGTGATGTCATAACAGTGACCATTTCAGTGAAGAAGTACCCAAGAGTCTTGACAAACAGGTTAAAAGTTACATAATTGAATCTTCTCTGGATTGCTAAGATGAAGATAGACATTTCTAAATGAAGTTTTAAGTCACATCGATAGTAAATTTCTGTTTGTGATATTATCAAGATGACAAATGATGTCAATTATACACAAGAATGGAATGTGTTATTTTGTGTCTGAACAGAAGTTCATGGTCATACAGTTCCATTTATGCGTTTGTTAATGCACGGCTTCAGTTAGCAGAGAACGCCTATAGAATAATTTATAGATTCTATGTGCCCGTTTTGAAAACAGTGAGTATTCTGAATCTTTAAACTAAGGAAATTCTGTTCCTGTTTTAAGTTAAGAAATGTGCCCATATTATAGTAATTTTAAGTGATTTGTAATGTTACTGTTTTCATATTTTGGTTTATGAATGGTAACGTCTGGTGCCCTCTTGTAAGTAGCATGTCAGGCAATCTTTTCAAAATCAAGTAGTTACTATAGGATTCTGACGATGGTGTATAACACATAGAGATATTGGGTTTTCGNTAATATCTTTATCAAAATCAGCCTAACACTTCTCAAAGTACAAGATGACTCAGTATAAAAATGGCTCTTGTTGGATTATTCAAGATCCAAAGGAATTATGGAAGAAGGGTACTGGACATAAAGTGTGTATTTGATTTCTTCTGCAACTCTTATTCAATAATTTCTTTCTCCAGTATTTAGTTAGCTATGCAGAAGATGTGTTCAGAAATGTAAGTGTGTTTTCATGTAAAGTATTATTCCTGTTTGATTTTAATCAAAATTTGAGTATGCTGTCAACTTTTCGTGAAGTTCCCCATTATCAAATTTATTCAACATTTTTATAGCAGTTTTTGAGTTCTTATATACAGACAGACATTATAAATGTAATAAGTGCATTTCTGCAACTTCATTGCGATCACGTCAATGATGTTTGTTTAAAACAAACTATTTGTGTTTTAGGTCTGTTAAGCATTACTTCTTATTGGACCAGGGTGACTTCATAGTTCAGTTTATGGATTCTTGTGAGGCAGAATTGAGTAAGAACATTGATGATATTGTTCCAACACGCCTTGAATCTTTGTTGGAGCTGGCACTTCGAACATCGGCAGCAAATGGAGATCCTTATAAAGATGACATGCGGACAGAACTGCTTCCGTATGATCTAATGTTCCAGATGTTCAAGATCCTCAGCATAGAAACTGATGAAGAGAAAGGTTCATCTATACAGTAACCCTTTGTTTAATGTGGATTTGTTTAACACAGTTTTGGTTATGTGAAATTTATATTTAGGCACCTGTTTATGCAAAATAGGCTTAAGTTTTGATTATCCACACTTCAGCATATGCACAGATCTGCATACAGCAGAGGTCGTGGCATATCCATGCATGCTGTCCAACCTCTGAGTGATGCTGTGGGGACATCTGCCAGATAGTATAATGTGCTTTTCACAAATTTGGAGTAACTTGCCTTAATTTTATAAAGTGCTATATTGTTTTGCTCCAAAATATGGCCTCAGAGTGTAAATTAACTAATGTTATTGCAGAAAGAATTGGGAAAGTAGTACCTCTGGAAGACATTTTCACATTGATAAATCTTCTGTCACAGTATTAACCTGCTCTCTCTTGATACAGTCTGAAGTAATAAGGTTTTATTGTACTTTCATTAAAGAAGTGTGTGATTGTTATTGTTCATAATTGAAGTTACAGTGTTGGGGTGGCGTAGTTTCAAACTCATACAGTGACTTTTTGATTGCAAACCTCCACATATATGGCTTTGCTGGTTTGGTTTTCAGAATACCGTTTACCATCAGACAAACTTCAACTACTTGGTTTGGAATCGTTCTCTTTTGGTTATGAAGTTAAGTGGCCTGTTTCACTTGTGTTGAACCGCAGGGCAATTGCTTGCTATCAGATGATCTTCAGACATTTGTTCTACTGTAAACATGTTGAACGCCTTTTATGCAGGTAAATGAACCATAATTTTTCATTGCTTAAGTTCCAAAGAAGTTATCCAAATCTGAAGCGTTATGTAATATTTTACATGTATGAGGTGCTGTTGGAAAGTTCCTGGACTAGGTCAAAAACGAAATGCTGGCCGAACTTACTCAAGTTAGGCTGCCATCTCCTTCAAAATAGTCTCCTTGGGAACGTATGCAGCAATCCCATCGGTTTTTTCCACACTTCAAAAGCACCATGGAAGTCATTTCCCTTAATGCTGCTTGTGATTCTCTTTAGATGTCAGACACAGTTTCAAAATGTCGTCCCTTCAGTTTCATTTTCAATTTGGGAAACAAAGCGAAATCACAGGAGGCTAAGTCCAGCGACTGGCGAGAATGGGGAACAGTGACCATGCTGTTGTTAGTCACAAACTCTGGTTTTCAGGGATGTGTGGGCTGGCTCATCGTGATGAAGGAGCCAGTTGTGGTTGTGCCAAAATTACGGCCCTTGTTACACATCTTGTCTCAAGCATCTCGGAACGTCACAGTAAAAGTCAGAGTTGACTGTAGTGTTAGTAGGAACAAATACACGATGAACAATCCCATTCATGTTGAAAAAAATAATGAGCATGCTCTTTGTTGAACACTGAACCTACCACGTCTTTTTTGCTCTTGATGATTGTAGGTTGTTCCACTGCGACGATTGTTGCTTTGTTTCTGGATCACAACCGTAAATCCAACTTTCGTCACCTGTTTTGATCATGGAGATATGAGTAAAGGTTGGGTCCTTGTTAGCCTTCTCTTGTAGCTCAAGACAAATGTTTGCACGCCACTGCTTTTGATCGGTTGTCAAGAAGGGGAACAAACTTTGCGGCAGTGCGGTGCATGTTCAAATTTTCTGTTAAGATCTCCTGGCAAATTCTATAACTGATCCCAGTGGTGTCTGCAAGCTCATAGATTGTTCAGTGATGGTCATCATGGATGCATTCTCAAATTTTTTCAACATTTTCTGTCGATGTGCTGGTGCCTGATCACCTATAATGTTCGTCATTTTGAACTGACACTCGACCATCCTTGAAACGTGAATGCCATTCAGAAACCGCTGTCTAGCTTAAAGAATGTTCTCCAAAAGCCTCATGAAGCATTTCAAGGGTTTCGGTAGCCAATTCACTGAGCTCCATGCAAAATTTGATGCAGACACATTGTTCGATTTTTCCATCCATTGCAGACAAAACGAAACATGAAGTTGAAACAACACTTGTGTAGAAACAGTGTCTCTTCACAGCATGGTGTCAATGGCAGACTGATGCAATAGGCTTGTGCAAGTGTGACCTTGGCCTCCCCTCTCATCTCCTTTCACCAGGGCGGTTACAAAAATAACAGTCCGGGAACTTTCCAGTAGAACCTCATGCAGTGAGGAATTGTTGGCCCCTACCCAACCTCTGAGCTGGAAGATCAGCCTTTATTGGCTGCCATTTACTATTTATTCGGTATCAGAGATGGTCAAGGTCACTACACTGAAGATGCAAATGACAATTTTCAGATGTTCAGGTGCTGCAAACAGATGTTGTTTTTTAAAGTTACTTATTTAATGATACTGTCAGTATTGAAACTCTATAGTGTTGATTATCGGTAGGTAAATGAATGTGGAGCAGTTGGTTGAATGCGAATTTAGGGGGGAAACCGAAGTACTTGGAGAAGGCTCATGTGTGTGCCACATTGTCTGCCACAGATGCCACATAACCTGACTTGGGGTTAGGTTTCATACATGTTAGGTACAACTTCTTTATTAACCGTCACAACACAACAAATATCAAGGTTTGGGTACATATTTTCCACGTAGTTTTTTATCTTCATCCATTAATAAAAAGAGACTGATTATTTTTTTTCCTTGAGTCACTTTTAACAGTTCAGAGGAGCCACATGCAACTGTTCTGTATAGTTGCAGGTAACATCTATCTTCAAACTGAGGAAGCATCAAAAATTGATGAGAAGGAACTCATTGGCTGTTACATTTTTGTTTTAAAAATAATTCCTTTGTCCATAGAATACAGATCTAAAGCAGATGTCTTTAAACATTAATAATGTATTTTGGTAACTGTATAATTTGGTCAGTAAAGTTCTTAACCCTTTGAACTCCTTACAAGAACGATGGCTGACCAGTGACTGTGTATTGTGTGACATTGTTTCATACAATATATGTAAGTGAAGTACCCCTGTTGTCATGTGCTGTACACTGACAGTATCAAATGTGACTGGAATGTATATTTGCAAATGTATGAAACAAGTGAAAAAATGTACGTACTGTTTGATAGGGTTTGTTTTTCTGATATACTGTCTACATTAGAGTCAGATACACTTACACAATAATTTCTACTAGATGTTGAGGTTGGGTGGGTAGCATTTCCACTATGTGTTTGGGAGGTTCCTTGTCCAATTCTTGACTGAAAGACTGGTTGTGCTGACCAACGTTTTTTATGGTTCTCATTAGTCCCTCCAGGAAAATTTTGGGTAGTACTTAAAATCAGATAACAGCAAGTTCCTTCCACGTCTTTTCCAGTTTATGATTGACCGATCAGCCCATCATATGATACTGTATAGTCTGAGCTATTGAAAGTTTCGTTAAATGCGCCATAAATACATGGGGCAATCCAAAAGTTACCGAAATTTGAATTTTGCACGCGAATGGTTATGAGTACATCAAAATACCGCTAGGTGTCTCCTCACACATCCTTCTTGAATCAGTGTGGTAAGCAGCATTGAGTTGAGTGGTTGGATTTATTGTTGGTGAACGTATTTCCATTGTTGTGTTTCCGCGAGTTTGCGGTTTTGCGATGGCTGACCTGAGAGAGCAGCGTGTCTGTATAAAGTTATGTTTTAACCTTGAGAAAACAGCTGCAGAAACGCACCAAATGTTGAAGCAAGCTTTTGGTGAAAACAGTTTAGGCCAGACACAAACTTACAACTGGTATAAGCGTTTTAAAAATGGCCGAACATTGACTGATGATGACGATCGTTCGGGACGGCCGTCAACGGGCAAAACACCAGAAAATGTCGCGAAAGTTAGGGGTCTGATTCTGTAAGATCGTGGACTGACCATCCAAGACGTCTGTAACACCTTGGGACTAAGTTATGGTACATGTCAACGAATTTTGTCAGAAGAACTGAACATGAGGAGGATTGCGGCAAAGTTTATGCCACGACTGCTGCAAAATGAACAGAAGCAGCATCGCTTGGAAGTCTGCAGG